TATCTCATTTCAATACATATTTAACTGGACTCTTTGTCAATCTGAAGTCGAAGGTATGTCCTGGTCCTCGACCCTTTTATGTTCACTTGGATAGGCTTATCTTAATAAGACTTCTACAAATGGATACCTTGTTTGCAACAAGAAACCAAGTTTTCTTTATTCGAAACCACCTTTGGGACCTGAAAATTTGGGGTGGTCTCTGGGTTGGTCTCCAATTAGAGGGCTAGCTTTGTGTTAAAAGGCTGAAGATTGTTATTTGGGTCTTTAGAAAAGTGGTCTCGAATTAGAGGGGTCTCGGAATTGAAAGGGTCTCGAATTGAAGGGTGCACTGTACTAAAGTGCAACACATTTTTCATGGTCTCATATTTACAAAATTCAAGTATTCCTGTTTAATATTTAATTCTACTAATTTTCCCGATACCCTCCAATAGAAATACAGGCCTAACTACGGATATTGACAAAAGCCGGCAATCGGCAGCATTCGTCAAACTAGATGGACGGGTTACTGGAATGAAGTTGAAAAGCTTGCTCGCGTCGCAATCCAAGGGTCCTGGATTCAAGTCCTCACGGTGACATGATTTTTCCCACCACCAAAACAACTCCACTCCCTAATAGCGAGATATATGTAGCACATCTTGTGTTTATGTTTGTCTTGTGATGGGATATGTCACTTAGAAAAGCAAATAAGTTTGCTGTTTGTCATATCCTTGGCCTTGGATTTAAAACAATTACAAATAATAATAATAATAATAATAATAATAATAATAATAATAATAATAATAATAATAATAATAATAATAATAGTATATACTTAGACCTACTTTTTAACCTAGAATACTTAGGGGAAGAGAGTGCGCTCTGCCTTAGTGTTGACGTTTTGTACAATTTATAAGAGGGGATTTTAAGATATGTAACCATAATTTTTATTAAAGCCGATCTGTGAAAACATTTTAGTCAGGCACAGGTGTAATATAAAATATACAAGATAGGCTTAGGTATGATTCTTGTTCAGTTAATGCTCTAATGAAATATTGTAGCATTTTTATTTCAAGATTCAATTTTGTATTTTTAAAATAAAAAAAAAAAAGGTAGTAGAAAACGGGAGGGGGGTTCCCCATGCCCCTCAATAAACTCGATCCTGACAGCACTGATTCTCTGATTTTGACGCATTATATAACTTAATTTAACATTTTGTGTTAAAACCAAACCGAATTTATGGGGTGTTTAAATATATGCAGTACCACCGTTAATTGTATAGGTTTGTGGCAGGTTTGTGGCTGGTTTGTGGAACGAGTGCCATACCCATTACACCACGGACATCTATAAGATATGTCTACATAGGTTTAATTTTTCAAGATAATTGTATCACTTTGTCGTCTGTTCCATATGTGTGCGTTGAATACAAGTGTTGCAGTATCACTATTCTGTATGAAATCAATAACGTTGGTTAAGGCATCTGCATATACAGCAAAAGTTTCAATTCCGGATGCGGCGGTTCTTCACTCGCATCTCCTCTTCATTACCGTTTACATGATCTTAAGCACACAATGTCGTCACCATTGTTATTTTATAATACACAGCATGAAAAATCGTAATGATAGTTTAATACCAATGATGTTGACAATGGCATTAATGATGGTGAAAACAGCACAAATATGAGGGAAATATGAGGGTAATGATAGTGAAATTAATGTCGACAGTGAATGTAATAAGGACGACGATGACAATGATGATGGTAACAAAAATAATGATGTAAGAATAAAGAGAGTAAAGATGGTTAAATTGGTGATGACACGGACGATGGAATATGAATATGTTGTCAATTCGTGCCATGATGGAAGATGGAAGTAATGAAGAGACCGTAATTCTAGTGAAGTTGATGATGACATTAAAGATGATGATGATGATGATGACAACGATGATGGTAACAAAAGTAACAAAGAGAGTAAATTGATGATGACACTGATGATGGAATGTCATCATGGTGTAAATTCATGCTACACGAAAAGCCTACAAAAAACCCACTTTGATTTATTTATAACTGTGTTTTATTAAACCTATACAAGCTGTTAATTGGAATATTTATAGACTCTGGAAAATCTGAATAGGAAAAACATCATGAACAATGAATGTGTAATGATATTCATATGTAGAACAAATATATTATTATATTATTCAAAAATTGAGAAATCTGTTGAACTGATACTATTTGCTATTCACGCATCACACAATTCCCCAACTGAAACCCCAGTATATGAATAATCAGATGCTTAATTACCTTTATTCTACTGTCCTATAAATTCAGAATTTGTTTCAAAATCTTCACCTCACAAAGCTTCTTTTGTCCTTGTATTGAAAAGAAATTTTAAAAGCAAAACAATGACTCCATAATACTATTACAAACGTATATCATTATTTCATTATTTAAAAAAATGCACATTGAAAACAGGTATAAAATCAATCACAAAACATCTAATGAATGGCTAATATGCATACAGATTTGTTCCTGTATATATTGTAGTAAGAATGTGTAAAACAATTTAAATAAATATATTTTTTAATAGAGCACCAATGGCAAAAACACTTTCACTGCAGATGTTTTTAGTGCATCTAGGGAAGCATTGCAAACAGGTGGCTTTTGTCCAAATTTTCTTTTCTTCCCAGGTGGAAATTTTCATGCATAATTTAGAATTGCAAAATTGCAATTGGTATATGCATTCCTATGACTTAATACAAACAGTCGAAATAAAAATTCTTTACACTTATTCACCACCAAAGGAAGATGACTGATTCAACATCTCAAAGCTTCTTTCAAATTAAAATAAAATCATTCATAACAATATTTTAAATAATCCCTCCAAAGAAAGAAATGACAATGCACCTCATGTTGTATGATGACCTACAGAAAGAGAGTCACAAAAATGAAGGCCTGTTTGTTTTAAGTAGTAAATAATCTGTTTTAATTAATACAATTCTCTGTGATGCTTGTTGCAAAAACGTACTTCCAAATCTCATGCTGAGTTACACATTACCTATGTACACTACTGTAAGAGCATTTGAAAATATAAGCTGTTACTGGATATTTATCAGAACAATTAAGTCTCATAGCAAATACTATTGGGAATGGTCAATGAGCTGGATGATGATGATGATGATGATAATATAATAATTATAATTATTATTAAATGAAATCTTATATAGCGCACAATCCACCTCAAAGAAAGATTATGCTCATAGCAGTGCCTATTTCAAAATAAGATTTTAAATGACCTGTTTTGCCATGCTAAGTTATTTTGTTGTCTTGACATTTATCAAGAGCTGGAGAATAAATTTCATTATTCCAGTTAAAGTACATCTTGACATCAAGTTCTTTTTTGTGATGAATTGTAATGGGCAACAGGATTTTATTATAAGAATCAATATAAATTCTAAAATTATGAATAAAATGATTCATAATTATATACTTTAATAAAATCTCTTGTTTATCTAAATTATCTGAAAAATCCTTGCTTTATATGAAATTAATAATAAAGTTCAAACCAATCCTGGAACATAAACTCAAACAAATAGATAAATTTTGTTATATATTTATGTACTTTTTTCTAAAGCAGGCTAACTTAAAAATCACAAACACACTAATAGTGCTACAGGCTCAAGGGGTCAGAAAAGTCCAGCACAAAACAAAATCCCAACTGGTTGATTATATAGAAACATTTATTAGGCAGTTTCAGTTGATAGTAACCATGGGGTAACATGCTAAAAGATAAATATTTTAAAATCAGGAAAAGAATATGAAATGAGAGTCAAAGGAAATTAAAATCACAGTAAAAGAATGTACTAATTAATTGAAAATAACCCCAGAAAGAGTGAATCTTAAATGTCGTTGTGAAGTACAGATAAAATTTGATAATAAACTGTAGCAGATATCATCAATTTACACGTTACCTAATAAGATGCTCATATTTTTTCAAATAAAATCTATCTATGGCAAGTAAACAAAACAATCTATAAATTTGAGTTTAGGCATAAATAAAAAAAAAAAAAAACTACTTATGTTCAATGTTAAGCTTGCAAGTAAAGAATAATGATATTTGGACATCAAGGTTTAATAAAGTTTTTAAAAAATATACAGAACCTAATTTAGAATAAGAAAGACAAAGTGAAAAATAAACACATTATTTATGCTTTGCATTAATGTCAATTGACATATTTGGTTTAAAACTTACATACTAAAAGATGATCTTTTTTGAAAAGTGGAATAAAAACCTTGGCTTTGGTATTTCCTTCCATTTTCATCTCACTCATTTTCTATTCTATAGAAAAATCAATAGAGGCTGTAGGTGTTCTTTATCCATATCCTATTTACAATCATTACATTATATACACACATATACAAACATATTTAAAACTAGGCCTTTATTTCCTCCTATAGGATGATTTCTAATTTCCATTTCGCATAAAAAAAATAATTGACAGTAATTTTCAATTAAAATCCTGGCCGTTGAATTTTAAATATTCAAAAACAGTTCCTGCAAATACTTAGCGAATGAACTGTTTTTACGTGCAATACAGTATTACATTTTTCTGAAAAGTGCCTTTGGAAACAAAAGAAAGAAACTGTTACACAACATTAAAACTGTCATGTATCACATGACTGAAGACAGAGGTGACATGTGATGACATGTCACCTCTGTCTTCAGTCATGTGATATATGTCTTGTAATGGGTGAAAGACAGACATGACATACTATCCTCTTGCCTCCTAAAAGCAGAAAGACAGAGGTGACATGTTATTCTCTTGCCTTCAAACAAACTGAAAGAGAGGTGACATGCCATCCATTTTCCTCCACAAATTAAAGACAGAGGTCAAATATAATCTTGCTTCCACAAATAAAAAAGACAGAGGTGACATGTCATCCTCTTGCCTCCACAAATGAAAGAACAACTGGTGAGATGTCATCCTCTTGCGTCCACAAATGAAGGACAGAGGTGACATGTCATCTTTTTGCCTCCACAAATGAAAGACGAAGGTGACATACCATCCTCTTGCCTCCACAAATGAAAGAGAGAGGTGACATGTCATCTTCTTGCGTCCACAAATTAAAGACAGAGGTGACTTGTCATCTTCTTGCCTCCACAAATAAAGACAAAGGTGAAATGCCATCCTCTGACCACTACAAAACAGACAGACATGACATGCCATCCTCCAGCCTCCAAAAAACTGAAAGACAAAGTTGACATGCCATCTTGGACATGGTTTATCTGCGTGAAAGCGATTCCCAGTCAGCATTATAACACCTTTTCTGATTTTTCACTGCGCAGCATACTACCGCGCAATGCCTGCAACTGTTCCTCCCCTAGTTTGATTTTGTCGTTAAATTCTCGCGACATCCAGGTTAAGTGTGATTTTGTTTCAATAAAGTACTCATAGTCTTGGTATTGTTCTGAGTTTAAGTTCGTTTTCAGAAATCCAGAAACAGTTTTACTCTTTTTCTCCACTGAATCTTTCAATGTCTTAGCATCACCGTACTGTCGATTCAGTTTTGTTAACAACTGCTGTAGACTCGTCTATAAAATAAAAAAATAATAATTAAGTATCAAAATTAAAGTCATGTTTATCAAACACTGACTGACCAATTATAATATAAAATTATTGGAACATATATTTTTGATACACTGCATTCTATGTAATGAGAGCTGACAAAATCTATCATTATATTATTTTAGTATTCTATGTTTAAGATAAGTGTAAAATATAAAATGAGCCTTATCAAACATTGAGAAATCAATTACTGTATAGCGCTCAAGTGTTAAAAGAAGAGTAGAGAACGAATGAAATCACAGTCCTGTTTGAAAATGCATTTATACAACAGAAGTGCGTAAACGGCGAGATAGTGGTAGTGTCTGCTGCAACTTCATATTGAAATATATAGAAGTGCTTGCATGATGTAAATTTGGGTACAGAAAAACTTATTCAGGTAGCAGGTGCGCTCCATATATATTATTATTATTGTTATTACTACTGTTATTATTATTGTTTTTTTTAACTGTTATTATTATTGTCATTATTCGTCATCGCCCTGCCACCATTATCATAATATTGGGACGTAATGTTCACTTATACACAACGCTGTGGTTTTCTCTCTTTCTGTACTCTTTGGTGTAAGTATATATAAAATCTGCTATTTATTGATGAGAAAAATGCTTGCATTTGTAGGATCTGAGTCGATAGTTTGAACATGTTCACATTTAGGGGTAAATGTGGCCATCTGCTCCATCACAGCCACTCAAGGATAAATAACTTTGGATTTTTACATGTCGAGCAGAAATAGTAGGATGAATGCAGTCTAAGAATTAATTATTTATCAGGTAGCCATAACTATCTTGCAATATCCCAAATAAATTATTTCAAACAGGCTATAAAAAAAAATGATAACAAGGCCCACCTTTTGTTCCTCATCTCCTTCAGCTTCGGCAGCTTTTAAAGCATTATTAGCTCTGGCTAACCTCCCAGACAACGACAACAGCAGGTCAATAATCTTGCTCTGCTCCTCAATATACTGGTTGTACTTACGTATCTCCCTTCGCTCACACACTTTCTTCACAACTTCTGTTATTTCACTGTTTAATCAAAGGATTGGAACAGAATATTTAAAAAAAAATAAGAGAAATTTAACTTGTTTTTGAACATAAGACTAACCCATTTCATTCTAATTTCATTGAACCACTAAAATGTTATCATCATAAATATCATCATGTATAGTTATTAATCTTAATCATGCTTGTATAGCTACTGTAGCTCTGCAGTATTACTATTATTTTGTATATATAAAAAAATATAAAATTTTTAGTTTATTATTTATTAAGTATCATAAGCTACTTACTCTCCAAGTTCATCATTTTTCTTCTTATCTTCCTCAAGTTCTTGTAATTCTAATTTCAGTCCTTCTAATTTCTTGCTTATACTATTAATAAGTTCCTCCTATAGGTGACACAAAAAGAAACTTGTACTTATAATACTCTGGATTTTAAGAAAAGCTAGCACAGCTCTTTTATTTCTGTTAAACTTAAAATGTTAAAACACTATTACACTATAAAAAGTTTTATTTATTTAATGAGATTCTACAACGAATAAAGTGTGAATTGGAACTTTTGTTTCACTCTAAAACAAAACAACTTGACATCCAATATAGACATGCACAAATATAACTAGCATACAATGCATCAGCAATTATAAAGAATGCTTTCATAATTACAGTAAACTGTATTGAAATAAAATTGCCAAAAAAAAGATTAGATTATATATGCAAGTTGGAAATAGATGAAAGCATATTTGTGAACGAAATCCACTTTGGTAACCAGATTTAGTTAGCAGTATTTTTTCACAGTACTTATTGCACCTGTACATTACCTTTTTCTTGTTAAGTTCGTGAGTGTTTATTTCTTCTGAGTTTCCTTCCATCTCTTCTGATGCTTTCTTTATTAGTAGAGCTTTGGATGTGGAGACGTAATACTGTGAAGTTGGAGACAACGTAGAAATTGGGGACAAAGGTACCCTGAAATGATAAAAAGAACCACATTTGAATAATAAACAATTAGGTTGCCAAAGTGTACATACAAGGGCAACAACCACTTAAAAGAGGATACCCTACTTGCTGTTAATGTTAATTTAACATGTGCAGCAATACCAATATTGTAACTGTGCTACAACAGTATCCCATGTGCAAAATTAATATACCTTCATATTTGAATGAGTAGACCATAGTGAGGTAATGCTTCACATAGCCTACCAGTGACTCATAATATTTGTGTTGATGTTATTCAACCACACTGGGATCATCAAATTACATGTTGGAACACACTATAGGTGGCTCAATGTTTTTAGTACAGAACCTTTGAGAGTGACTTGCTATGTGATTTGTGTGTAGATGCACTTTTACATAGGTGTGCTCTATGTTATGCAGAGTTTGTAAATAAGCCTACTCAAAGATGCTAAATACACATTTGTTTTTAATTTTGCAATTCTACAATTATATTTTTGCCAAATAATAAGCCATACAACGCACGATGGATACAAACCCATACCCCATCCTGGCGCATATTGCATTTGTTAGTTTTCGGGATTAAATATGCCAATGGAATGCTGTTTGATTTGTATGCAAGGCCTACTTCCACCAAAGTGTAACAATTCATTTGTTTGAAATTAATGGAGGTCTTATTTATCATCAAACGGTTGTGATCTTTACCATGTTCTGGAATGCATGGTTATATTTTAGTATATGTTCACCTATATGTGTCTGGGCTATGTTGATAGTTATGTAGCAAAGCATGGAACACGGCACATATTTTGTAGAGATACAGGGCTGTAGTAAAAGTTAAGGCCCAATAAAAAAAGTATTTACTTTATCACCCTCACACGCATGTCTTCTATGGTACTTGAAGAAAAAAATTGTTTTGAAAAAAATTTAACAACATTTTTTTTTTTAAATAGTTAAAAGATATTGTTTGTATTATCTCAATAATATTTTACATTGAATATCAATGCATCAGCAAACAACCCTAGGGTGATATTTGGCTTTAGGGGGAAAAAAAGCCTCCCTCCCTCCCTCATTACTTTTCCAGCCTAGATAAAACTATTAATACTAATATCTTTTTATGGGGCCTAAACTTTTTCAAACTAACCACTTTTTCTAGCAGGTCCTTTACAGGTTTCACCTGTGTATATTCAAGATGACTCAAAATTAATGTTAATGAAAAAGTATGTAAAGAAAAAACCCCAACATCTTTAGAAAATGCTTGAAACGAGGGTATTGCCCAGAAAATCACCAGGGCTGACAGTCGTAGTCCCTGTCCCGTAGATGGTGTTCAAATACTCAGCAAGTCAATGGCTTTTTTCATCAGCATTGTTTAATAGCAAATGATACTTCTCCATTTGATTGAAGGGGTTGACCGTGTAGTCATAAGTACTCTTTTATGATCAATCTAAATATGACAATAACAACTATTTTATTGTGTACACTTTCGGGGAAAGGGGTCACAGAATAGAGTATGTTTTCTACTCTTGTAAAATGATGGATGACTCCCGACAGTAGGATAACTACTTTCAGTAACTGACCTTTCTGGTGATCCTTGGCTATCTTCAGTCGTGTCCGTGATTTTCAATGGTGACTTTTTCCCATAATTCTTGTTACAACCGTTGGACATGTCCGGGAATATTTCCATAATGTACGGTTCTGCACTAACTTCCGTCGACAGTAAACGTATTAACTCTGAATTACTACATGAACTAAGAATTGTATTTTTAAGTTCTTCTGAATGTTTATCGGTTTTAGATGTACGCCGATTTTTCCACCTTTGGAGTGAAGTCTGACGGTGATCTGATGGACTTGTTCTTGTGGATTTCCTGTTAACATCAATATTGGTATCTACTGGCGGATGAGTGATGAAATCATTACTTGGTGAAAGAGTTTTGTTGAGATTAACACCTGTTGTGCATTCGTAAGCTACTGACGGTGAAAGGCTGACATCTGATGTAGGAGACAATGATGGTGTGATTGAAGGAGATATTTTGCAATCACTGCCATCTTCTGATGATCGATTCAATCTGTGACTATTGACAACAATTTCTGAACTAGATCTGTAAAAAAATATACAGAAAATTATGCGTTTGAGAAACAGTGGTGTAACGACTTGAATGAAGGTTACTAAATGAACTTCTGTATTGTGCACATGGTTCTTTGGTTCAACAATCCATAAATAGTTGTTGATAACAACAAAACAATAAACATTTACACTGTGAAACTACCATTATAAATAACTATCAGTGAGAGCAGTCAGTATACAACAGGACAAATAAACAGTTGATGCTAAAATGTATGATAAGTTAGAGAAAATATCTGAATGAACAGGATATATTGAAATTAGTAGTATTGAATGTATGGGAACATTATATAATTATGAAAATATACATTTAATATAATAAAGTTATTAATTTCAGCAATGTGCCCAGGTTTGTGCTGAAATAAAAAACAAAATCATTTTGTGACAACAGAACTCACAAAAAGACATATATAAGTAAGAAACTGGATCACGAGAGACTGAACAAGAAGAGATACAGGATGTCTGTAGAGCCATCAGCAAAGCAAGGAGCTGTGAGTTGTCATTAGACATGCAGCAAAAATTGTATAATAATAATGTAATATATAAGGTGAAAAATCAATAACACAATATTTACAGAATTACAAGAATAGTAACTAAAAAGATAAGCAATATAAATTAATATAAAATTTGTATGAAATATGGATGCCATTTTTTTTAAAGTATGAAGAACACATATCCTGAATAACATCATCATCACTAAACAGGTGAATAAAATAAACACTAACAACAAGTAGGAGACAGAAAGAGACAAGAACAGTGTCAACAAAATCATCACAAAAATACAATACTTCACAAACATAATAAATTCATTGTTATTTAAAAAAAATCTATTTTATAAAGTTGGGCTCCAGGACAAATTTAACAAGACACTGAAAGTATGTTTGACGAACAAGAGAAGGGTTAATCTGATAAAGTAATAAATGATGGCTACGCCTTCAGTGTCTTAGAATAACATTATTCTGTGTTCAAAGAAGAGGCCACCACTGCTGACGAAAACAATAGTACCTTTTATGCTTAGGTTTCCAAACAGTTCCTTCATAAAAACAAATTATTGTTTATGTAACACTTATTAAAAAATTAACCAGTAAAAAAGAATGACTACCTGACAAGACAACGCTTATTTTTATAATACTCAGTGCAACCAGGACACATCATTATTAAAATAATGTATTGAAAAATACTGCAACAATAATATATACTGTGTTATCAAGTAAACACCCAGAGAGACAAACTCTTGTTGTAGCCGGACCCAAGAATGACATTAAACCAAAACGTCTACAATATATAACACGGACACAGGAAAAGGAAGGTAGTCGGATAAGGTCTAGTGAATATATCAACAATGGAACTTGAATTTAGCTTCTGCTATTAAACTTTTAACTAGATTAATTATAAAACTTGTTTACTTAATATTTTGATAGCTTAGGATAAAACAAAAACAAATGTATCAGGATTTGTTGACAATGACAAAGCACCTAGGCTTCTCTCAAGGTGGTTGCAATGACAAATACAGTAAATAAATATGGCTACATCTGCTACCACCAGTAAATGAAACAGACTCTTACAGCAGTTTCAAATTTATATTTTTTGATAATCAATCTAATGTTTGAGTTTCTATTTATGACCGTGCACTGCTTGCCACCAAACCTTATTTATTATTATCTTTTTTTTGTATTAAATCCTTTTTAGTTGTTGTTAAGCGCATAGAGGCAGTTTCTTGCAATATGCGCTATATAAATAGCAATTTATTATTATTATTATTATTATTATTATTATTATTATTATTATTATTATTATTATTATTATCTCATTGGGTGTATAATAGAAGTACAAATACAGCAGTCACTCCATAGATTTCATACCTCAGCCCTGTGGCTGGATACAGAACAACATGCAGGTTGTGTATGGGTGATTTCAGTATTTCTTTTAAGCTGGAGGGTAAGTGCAAACAAGGAAGAAATTCTGTGGCCTTGACTTCTAACTTCTTTTTCCCAAAAGTTAATCACCTCTTTCTTAACTTTAATGTTACTAAATTTTATGATGATCCATTCCTTAGTTTTTATATAATCTTCCTAACCAACAGACTGCCCAACAGGCAGGGGTGGATACATAAGGCCAAAAAAAAATGTTTGTTTGCCCTCCTTCACCCACCCCTAACTCACTTAAAAAAATAGGGTTCAAACAAACTAAAACAAATGTGAGTGAAATTATTTTTTTGCCAGATGCCCTACAAATTAATCTAAAGTTGTTGTCTGATGTAAGTTATTGCCATTCTAGGCCTCTGTGGATTATTTTTATTCCATCTGATGAGCATTTAAAAAAAGAAAAAAAAAAAACTTTTTGCACCCGCCCCTATTTATCATTTTAAAAAAAGAAGGCCAAACAATTTTTTTTTTTGGCCTATCCTTGGTGGAAGTATTTTGATTCTACACACTAAAACAATTTCAGAGCATTAGCCATCTTTAGAAATCAGGATCTATTAATCAGAAAACAAACATAACATTTTAATATGAAGAGATTTGTTCCTCATCAATAAATGTATTGAAACTAGTTTTTATAGACCACATTATGTAAGTGTAGCTAATGAACAGGTCAATTTACACTTTCCACTTAAGACCTTAACTATCAGCAACAAATTGTGTTAACCACTGTCAGTAGGATAATTATATTTATACTAATATTTAAAAAAAAAAATCACCATCCTAATAAAATATTAATTACATCGAACTAAATGTACCTGTATAAAATCATTTGATAGACTACCAAGAAATGTTTTTTTATAGATTAATAATTTGAAACTGGAAAAATTGTTTTACTGGTAGCAGATATAGATGTATTTATTTCCTGTATTTGTCAGTTCAGTTTCCACAATTACAGTGACCATAATAAGTGGACAACCCACCCCAGTTCACTCAGGAGAGTACATCAGTGCACCAACCACTCCATGGCTCCCCAACAAAGTGCTGTTTTCTGTTATATGTTTTGGATTTTTTAAAAACGTATTTACTAACGTATCAAAAGACAAATTTCATTATTATATGAAAATAAATCATGAAATTTTAGCATTAGAGAAAATTGCTCACAGCTCTAAATTAGTTATGGTTGTGGATGTTAAATGTTATTTAATGCCTGGTTGATTGTCTGGCAAGGTAAACTATTTTGTTTCATACATTCAATGATGATGATAAATGATGAGTTTTTCTTTCCTAAAATATAGGGTGTTCAGATAAGTGTTCTAGTTGTTAAAATGTTGGTAAAATGATACCATCGAGGCATGAATCATGATTGATCTAACATTAATTGTAAAGAAAACATCTGAAAACTGACTTATGGTTAAGGATTTAGCAAACATTCACATGATCATCTGTAAAATGTGATTTAAAAAAAATCAGTAAACCCAATATATGGAATTTAAAATCGGTATCAAATACAGAAAATTCAATAAAACCTGAGTCAACTATGTGCAAGTTAAACTAGCTTTTACTGTATAGATCATAATGTAAGTACAGTATATGAACAAGTCAGACACTTTACACTTAACATGACCTTATAGTGAACCATCCCCAACAAACTGTTTTATACGAAAGCTTGGAAGCAAAGTAAGATATATTCTATTTTAAATAATTCCAATTACAAGAATAATCCATTTGATATTTTGAGCATTGGAATAGTACCAAATATTCTTGACATTAGTCAACTACATTTTTAAAAATATGAATAAATTTATAATCATTTGTCAACACATCTTTTCATACTTGTTCTCTAACAATTTTCATTTTCACTTCCAGACTGTAATTATTTTGTCAATTTCTTGATAGAATCATTTTAATAAAACATAATTTTTTTTCTAATACATCATATTCTATGCTAAAATGAAACCCCACACCCTATATCCACTATACCCTACAGTATATAGGGTCTGTGATAACACTAAAAAAAATTAATGAAGTAACTAAAAAAAGAAGTGAATGAAGGAACATTACGCAGAGAAAACATAGAATACAAAAGATAACAAATAATTTTTCTTTAAAATACAAGGATCTCATAGATATAAAAAAAAAAACTATATGCTATATTGCTATACTGTACTACTGTAGTAATTACTAAAAGCTAAAAAAGAAATATCTATAAAAAAAAATCAGCAACGATTTAAGAATTAGCTTCCACAAAATCTAAAGTACTCATTAATTAATAAATTGATATTAATATTCCTCCATGCTTATGACAGATTGGAAGCTTTTTTAAAATCACAAAAGTATAATACAACAATTAATACCAAGCTTATTTATGAATAAAATCATTACAAAACAGCTTTGTCCAATGGTTAACCTTCAGCCATGTCGACAGACTACTGCCAATCATATTTCAGATCATTGTGAACATGATGATGATATTATTAACTGAATGAAAGTGTCAACTATGTACATATACAATAAATACTACAAAAGAAGAACAGGCATGCAAAGAAAAGATGATACAAATTCAATTACCTTGTACAAGTCAGCAAGAACAGTGTCATTGGTCTTTAGTAGGGTAAAGAAGAATAACAAACATGAGTTGAGAAAATAAAACAAAAACTGCCAATAACAGGCAATATGGACAGATTTTGAGAAATGAAACCTCCTGCATGTAGTACTACTGTACACTCAGACAGATACTGATTATAATCAGCGAGCGTTTGAATGTTTAATGAAGCATAACAGATCGACAAAAACTGGAGAGAATCATTGATGAACATGACGTTAGTGGCTGCTGTAAACTGTGGTGTCCACTGAGTCACACTTAATGAATAATCATTAGAGGCAATACCACCATCATAAGGAGGTGGAACACAGTTTTGTCAACTGCTATGGTCTGTGTGCGGTGGAGCATTACCAGCAATCAAGACAGGGGATGTTTGAAGTTTATGTGTATTGGTTGGTAGGTGTGATTAAAGCAAGAACAATAAGTGATGTTATCTTTGACCTCTATGCTTTGAGAAGCCATTAAATGTGAAAACTATTTCTAATTTCCTTTTGTCTGTTCCTCTGTGATAAACAAAGCAAATGTTAACATTATTTATTTATTTTTATTTATTAACCAAGAGCAATTAAAGTCACCTGTAACAGAATTGTAAAAATAACATAATAAATTGACAGTATATAATAATAATAATAATAATAATAATAATAATATTTATTTAGGAAATGCTTTTTTAACAGCAGCACTCTTCACATCGATGGTTCATCCAGTGAAAATATAAAAATTTTAATAAATAATAGCAAAAGGCACATATTAATTAAGCAACAATAAACAAATAATAATAATAATAATAATAATAATAATAATAATAATAATAATAAACTGTAGCAAGAACCACAAATACTAAAATGTCAACTATCTTGGTCCAGCACTGGGCCTACTGAAGTAGTACTAGTATAGGCCTATGTCTAGCTTTTTAAAAGGTTGGTACTGTCTGCAGTTTTGTTGACTTTTAGTCGAGTCTCGCGTAAGAACTAATCTAGCTTTAGTCATATTTTTCAGCTAAGGTCCAGATCTTAACCATCAAGCTCTTATTACCTCCTCCTAAACCCTCTTCTTCCTATTTTAACATGGGGGATAGTGGAGCAACAAGAGTTGCACATGGACACACCATGGCAGTACAGTATATACTATTACTATACTTTGCTGGTCTCTGAGGCATCTATAGTATCATGAAGGTTATAAAGACAAACTAAACACCTAGTAATCAATACTTCAGTGAAGCAGCTAACAAGTTGAACAGGAGTGCAATCAATATTGCCTTTTGTGTGTGACCTCAGTCCCATAGCACCACCACGTCCAATGGCCAGGCCTTGCTTAAATTCACAAACAGTGTATATTTCAGGTTCATGCAACCACAAAGTTTAATTAGTCACACTATTCACTACAACAAATGTTCTATATTTACTTTCATAATTATCTTAAACAGTGTTATTTGGTTTTGTTGGTCATAATGATAACTAAGGAAATTGTGATATCTGCTTTGTGGAGTTATTTCATGTTATTTATCATTATTTAGTATATGCTATAGCATTTCATATCTACCTAGAAACTTAACGAGTACATTTTACCCCATAAATATATGTGAATACAAAAAAAGTAAGTATATATAGGCCTAAACCAATATTAAAAATTGATAGAGGCAAGTCTGAGTTTCCGATTCACCCTACTTGACAATCAACCAGAAAGGTGCATTAACTTTTGATTCAAACATATCCCGTGCTCTATCATGCATAAAATATATTTTGTTAACCAACATAAAAAAATGCATTTAATAATAGGTTATTGATAGGTTTCTATGACAACGAGTCAAGCAGACAATGGAATAAAATCTTTAACCCTTTGAACCCTGCATTATTTACATCTTGTGGCATCCTGACCTTGAGTTATTTGCACAAAATATGCTTATTTTTTATTACAATCATCACCATCACCTCCTAGGCTCTGTACCGCTACCATAGCCATCCATCAACCCGACGCACAGCTATCCTCACTACCACTGCTGGCACTAGCACTATCGTGATCGGCCTGGCCTAGGGCTAGAAACTACACTGTTTACCTCACTATCACTTTCCAAATCGTCATCATCAATATATTCTTGGGAGTCATAAAGTATCAATCGTAAAGCATGTTGGCATTTCTGGTCAAATTATTCAATATAAATTTGTTTTTTCAAAAAAATCAATACATACGAGGCTGTCAGAACGACTTGGGAATGACGATGTCACAAAATTATGTCATATTACTCATACTGGTCAGGAGATTACCACAAATAACGTCACCTGACCCGCAAAGCCGGTATACCGGCCTTTAGCGTTATTGCAGCGTAAGGTTCAAATGGTTAAATTGTTTTTTTCCTGAACTATATTGTGATATATTTTGAAATAAATTCATTTGGATCCAAATATAATTTGTATGAAATTTTTCATTAGTGTTGATCCAGCAAAATCAAAAACAATAGTACTCACACTACGTTTCATGAACGATTCGTTTGCTTTTCAAGTAGACTTTGTAGAAAAATTTCATACAAATTATATTGTGAAAGTTTGAACATAAATCTATGTGAGAAGGGAAATCTATATGAAAAATGAAATCTTTGAAGGTATAACAAAAAATAAATTCGAGAAAATTCACAGCAAATTAAGAAAAAAAATTATTTACCTTAAGATCCTCAAGTGAAAAGTCAGATAAATTCTAATCTTATGTATGATTCTTTAACCTTAAGAAACACGATTTTTTGGTAAATACGAATAGTTTTAAGAATGACATGCACTGATACCTTACACAAAACTGCTTAAAGATGATAGTTGTATATAAATGGAAGCACTACAGTAACTTATTGCTAGGATAGAAATTGAAACTGAGAGTACTCTGCTAAGACATGTAACTACCGCACAGTACTTGGAAAACCATCCGTCCTAAATGCTTAAAAACAGATCAACATGGTCTAAACTGTTAATTAGTAATCTTTATCAGTGTGGTTCAGTGTAAAGCAAGTATAAACAGTGTAGAAATCCAAATAAGTCAATAGAGGTGATAAATTCCAATAACAATAGCATGGCTTAATAATAGTATATTCAACCGGATTCATTTCCCTGTTTCATGGTACCGAAGTAGACGGTTGTATTTTCAACAAGAGGGTCAGTAAAAAGAAAAAAAAATACCCAAAGGTCAAGGAGAGACTTCGTCCTTGATTTTTTTGTCTATAGCCTCTGTAATTTTTTGCAAATTCCTTTCAATAACATAATAAAAGAGAAGGCAAACACAATGTAAATGTAATCACAACCTAGTCCCATCAACTCAAATAACAATGTTAACAGTAGTACTGTATACTGTTTTGATAATGCTTGGATCATGGAGGAGGAATATACAGTATATCCCCCACACCCTGGAATTTTCCCTTCCCCCTGTTCCCCACCCAATCATATACTGTAAATCACTTTCAGGAAGTTGACGCAGGGCATTTTCTTATCCGGTAGTGCACTTTACATGATCAGCAATGTGTTAATTTTCCTTTATCTCTTTCTTATATTAAATTGTATCTCCAGTCTGCTATAGGAAAACATATTGGGGGAAACTCTCACTAAAATTTTACCTTTCCCCTCACTTCAACCCCCCCCCCCCCCAGACGCTGGCGCCGCCACCGGGATTGCATTCTCCATGATGCTTGGGTGAAATTCAGACGATTCTGACTTTCATTCCTAACTTCCCTATAAATCTTAATGTACAATTGCTGGAATCCTTTTAATATGGCAATCAGTGTATTGTATCACTCTAATGACTGATAATATAATCATTCTTCCCAGTCAATACCTTCACAGGAAAAGGCAATACAGTATTTCATTCAATGCAAGTGTATACGTGAAATCACAACAGATTGAGTCACATCTTGAGACGATGATTATAGCATATTACCACAATGAAAATAAGCCAAGACTGACAAGACATTCCCATGTTCGCAAGTATGTCCATATGGCATGCCAGAAAGGCAACTTTCAAACACACACCATTTTCAATCACATTAAAATCACACTAGATCTTAAAACACACACTATTTTTTAATTAACTCAATTTTCTAACACAATTGATTTTCAAACACCAGAAAAATAATTATGATTATAATATAAATAATATTATATATATTTAAAAAAATGTGCAAATTAATATATTTATTTTATTTATTTGTTTCGGTATATGATTTGCAATCGGCAGCAAATGGCTGAATTTGATAGGCATTAAATTACATTATAAAACACATATAAATACAGACAATATAAAAACATGTAAACACATTAAACAGAGGTATTTGAATTGACTTTAATATTATTAATATACAATTAAGTAATTATGAACAGTGCATGTGTGTTATGCTAATGTAAGCATTAATGTCTACTGTAGTTCATCTGGTATATTATAAGCTTACTCACTGTAGGCCACTTTGTAGAAGGATAAAGTGAGAGGGGGAGGGGAGGTGAGAAAGGGGTTCAAGAGCAGTGCATATATCCAGGAATTACCTTTCAACTTTATAGGGATAGTCAATAAAATTCAACTTTAGAGCCAATCTTATTATATATCTGCTGAGGTATACTAATTTAAACCATACCCTGGGAGAGGAAGGAAATGTTGTGAGGAGGGAAATGATGGCAAGTAAATCAACGTAAAGTGGAAGATGAGCTTATACACAAGGTGGGTTCTACCTGAGCAATGACTTCAGCAAATCACCTGGTAGTAATTGTGTGGCTCTACTCCAATACTGTACTCACATTTTTTTGAAATTATTATTTTTAGAAATTATTATTATTATTATTATTATTATTCTGCCGCTGGTTTCATATTTAACCTTTCTCTGTAAATGTATGACTCAACAATGAATTAAAGGACAATTTAGTAATAAAACCTTGAACTTGGGGATACTATTGTTTTTACAGATTGCTGTAGGTCATGGTCAAATACTACTTCACTAAATTACATCTGAATAGGGACACATCAATCATTACATCAG